GAATTGCCTGAGTCCAGGGGATCGAGACCAGCCTGGACAACTTGGCAAGATCCCATCTCTACAATAAATCTGAAAATTAGCCGGGCATTGTGGTTTATGCCTTTGGTTCCAGCTACTTGGAAGGTTGAGGTAGAAGGATCACCTGAGCCCAGCAGAGAGAGGTTGCAGTGGCCCATGAGCGTACCACTGCACTCCAGCCTGGGTGACAGAGTGAGACTCCTACTTAAAAAAAAAACTTATTGGGTGAGAGAAAAAATAACTCCTAAGTGATCAGTATAATTTACCAAGGTTAACAGGCAAAATCTTGCCTTCAAAGATTCGATGATGACATTTTAGCACTTTGCCCACCACTGCAATGATCTACAGAGCTCCTTCCCAAATCCCTCACAAATAGAGGAATTTCAGGAACATGCAAACACAAAATCTTTCCTAACACTTACAACCATTAACACTTACTGAAAATTCGCAAACTAATTTTGCAGGAAAAATTGTGGTGGCATTAGCTTGGGGCTATTTGATTTCTTTGACCTTTTGAACGCCCCATGGGAAATGGACTTTACTGAGCAGGTGTTTATTTAGGATATAAAAGGACAGGAAAGGTATTCATACTCAGCCACAACAAGAAAAACTTGAACAAAATAAGATTTAAATTGTTCTAGAAGGCTGAAGAGTGATGAACTTAATTTCAGAGGAAAATGCCCAGGAGAGTGGGTGCTTGGTCTGGTAACAGGCAGGCCTCACATAGACTGACAGACTTTATAGGATACAGCTGGGGACCTTGGACAGCAGAGTGGGATAGCAGGAAGGATTTGAGTCTGAAAGAGATGCTAACACAGGGACAGATCGCTTGGACCTATAATCAAACCCTTGCCACCCCTCCCCCCAGAGTTAGGTGCCCAGACTTGGCCTCCGCTGGAGTTGAATCCAAGGGCAACACTTTTAAACTGAGGCCAACCCTAAGAATCAATCAAGAGTTTGGAATCCAAACTCTTCCAAAGAGTTTGGAATCAAATGCTGACGTAATCAAAAAGGCAGAGGTTTGGAGGCTGAGGACTAGGCTAATCACAGATGATTTCAATCTAACTAAAACTGTAAGCCCGCCAGTCTAACTGCCAAAAATGGAAAAGCCTTCACTTGCTGGGAAATAAGCAATTATAATGGAGACTACAGCACACTCTTATATACAATAGCAGAAGATAATTTTCAAAAAGAGACATAAATGGGTCCCACAATCAAAAGAAACAACAAAAACATTAGAAGTAACCTGCATGTGAGTTACAGAAGGCACTTTACAAGGGCCTTTCAGTCTTTTTCTCCACAAACCTCAGAAAAGAAAGCGCAAAAGGGTTTTGTACATCTGAGTAGAGTGAGTCCCCTTACGAGGCCAAGTTGGCTTGGGTAGACTTTCTATTATTCCTCTACCTTATGTTGTGACTCTACTGTGTAAGAGAGAACAACAGAAGAGACAGCAGGCAGGGAAAGGGGAGATGAGGGAGGGCAAGGACACAACTCAGAAAAGGTAGGAAGCAGGGGCCGTGGGTTCTCACCTGAGACCAACCCCCAACCTCCACCTAGTCCTCCCATTCTAGAACTGAGACTCACACTACCCTACCAGCCCCTGACAGAGATCTCGTTTTTTATTTTTTGGAGTTGGGGGTCTCACTCTGTTGCCCAGGCTGGAGTACTAAGTGACACAATCACAGTTCACCGCAGTCTTGAACTCCTAGGATCAAGTGGGAGGCCTAAGCCTCCCAAAAGTTTCTGAGATAACAGATGTAAGCCACTGTGCCCACTTTAGAGAGACAGTAAAATTCATTAGTACAAAAAAAACCCCAACATAACAGTACTTCCAGAAACATTTCAATTAACAAGTAACTCCCCAAATGAAAACTATTAAACCCTCTTCCAATGACAACAGTATTGTCTTTACACAAAAATTAGCTGTTTGTATAATATTAATATCTCATAAGATTTTCAAAAATCAGAAGTTTGTGTGTATACACATAGATAATGTATCTTTCAGCAGAGAGTTGTACTTTCCTTGACTCCAAATGATAATGACAGTGGTCAGTGATTGTCTCCTATTAAATCAGAAGCAAAACTAGAGAATTAAACTCCACTCAAGACTGAAAAGGAAAAAAAGGGCCAGGCTCAGTGGCTCAGCCTGTAATCCCAGCACTTTGGGAGGCTGAGGCGAGTGGATTGCCTAAGCCTGCGGGTTTGAGACCAGCCCGGGCAACTTGGCAAGATCTGGTCTCTACAGTAAATCACAAATTAGCCGGGCGTGGTAGCACACACCTGTAGTTCTGGCTACCTGGAAGGCTGAGGCGGGAAGATTGCCTGAGCCCAGCAGGTCGATGCCGGGGTGGCCGTGAGTGTGCCATGGCATGCCAGCCTGGTTGATGGAGTGAGACTCCAACTCAAAAAAGAAAAAGAAAACAGGATTCCCAGGGCTGTACTTCCTTTCCACATTTTATCTTATCCTTTCTGACAGCTTCAACCATGACAGTAAATCTTCAGTCTATTCTCTGTATTTCTCTTGTCTTCCACTACAAACTCAACAGATAATAAAGTTCTTAACTACCCTCAAGTCAATCCTTTTCCCAACTCCTACCCTATTACCTTCAACCCCTCCTCTTCGTACCCTGTGAAAAGCCATATGGTTGTATGTTCTCACGTCTAGGTTCTCACAGCTGTTCTCTGGATGGAATCCTCTGAATCCATTAATTTTTCCTTTTCTGAACTCTGCTGCCAGGGGAATCATTTAGAATTTGACCCATTTCCATCTTATTGCCACATCTAAAATTATCAACAGATTTCTCTTCTCTGTATTAGAATTCTTCTTCCTGCCCAGCAGGGTATATGTTATTGGCTCTCTCCTGTCCTTATAAATCACCCCAAAGCACATCCCCACCCTGGTGGAACAACATGCCACCAATCTCATAACCAGGTGATATTCCACATTCCATTGCCCATGCTGCTGTTGTTCCCTGAAAATTTCACCTATACACTTGTACTCCAACTCATATATATAGCTCTCTTTCAACCGTCAAGATTCCCTGGTGACCACAGCTGCAGGTAACCTTTTCCTGAAAATTTAAAATTTAGTTACCATTTTGTATTAATCCTATCTCCCCAATTAAACCATAAGTCCTTAAAAAGGAGTCACCATCCTTTACTGTGTCGATATGTCGCCTAAACACAGCAAAAAGTAAGAAGTGGGACAGATGAGCAACTGTTAAGTGGACAAGAGAGAAATACCAGACAGTTACGAAAGTCAGACAGATTTCAGTCATGTCCTGAGTCTTTGCTTCCCATGCGTCTAGAAAGGCAAACGATTGCTCAGTGTATGGGCACTAAGGGAAAGATTAGCAAATGTCCTTGTCTCAATCACTTGTAGACTAGGCTGGTTTTCTGCCATTTGTAAAGAGGGCCTCTCTACTTCACAGTGTCTCTGTGAGTCCTAATTAAAATATGTCTAGGGGCTGGGCTGGGTGTGGTAGCTCATGCCTATAATCTCAGCACTTTAAAAGGCTCAGACGGGCAGACCGCTTAAGCCCAGGGCTTCCAGACCAGCCTGGACCACATAGTGAAACCTCGTCTCTACAAAAAAAGAAAATTAGCCAGATGTGGTAGCGTGCGCTGGTAGTTCCAGCTGCTCAGGAGGCTGAGGTGGAAAGATCACCTGAGCCCAAGAGGTCAAGGCTGCTGTGACCCATAACACCTGTGAACATGCCACTGCATTCCAGCCTAGGCAACAGAGTGAGATCCCAATTCAGAAAAAAAAAAAGGGAGGGGATGCTAATGGAGTAGCTGGTAGTGGCTCAACAAAAAACAGCCATAACATCTCCTGACTCCAGGTCTCTCTGCTTCCACTCCTTTACTTTCCTCTTCTCTTATTACTGTTCCCCTACCCAATGCTATTCCTGTTTAGGTACAAGGTTGTCTCAAGACTACAATCACTGCTTTTTATACTCCTACTACAAACATCTTTTAGTCCCTTGTTATCTTTGGCCTACAATTATGATCTCCCAGTGCATTTCCTCTTCTTCAAATCATGTCCCTTTATGAAATCCTCATCAGCGAGGCCACTTTAACCTTTGCGAAGCAGAACTTGAATTAAGTCACTTCTCCACTAAGAATCTATGATGCACTTTCTATAGCCAACTTATTTAAGTAAGATGAATTTCTTCTCTCTGATACCCAACGTTTTATTCCTGTCTTTTATTCCCTGCCTACTACACACTGTAACTCTCAAACATCCAGTCTACTTCATAATATATGTGCATTTTCTTAACCCCATCTGAGTAATCCTTTTCTTTCTACACTATATCTATTTGCCAAAATCACAATATTAAAAATGGATCACAAGCTGGGCTCGGTGGCTCAACCTGTAATCCCAGCACTTTGGGAGGCTGAGGTGAGTGGATTGCCTGAGCCCATGGGTTCGAGACCCGCCTGGGCAACTTGGTGAGACCTCATCTCTACAATAAAATAAAAAATTAGCTGGGCGTGGTAGCGTGCGCCTGTAGTTCCAGGAAGGCTGGAACGGAGGGATCGTCGGTGACCAGCAGGTCAAGGCTGCGGTGGCCGGGAGCGGCCACTGCACTCTAGTCTGGGTGACACAGTGAGACTCCAACTCAAAAACAAACAAACAAAATGGATCACAAAAGTTGTTCCGAAAATCTTGACATGGGGATGGTCTTCTGATTCTTTTTATCTAATTACTTTTATCCTTTATCTGCAGCTCCTACTGAATTCATCACCATCTCCACGACATAAGAGTATCTACACTCATCGTAATCTATTCATTTAGAATACCCTTGACTAACACAGTGCTGTGTTATTAATCTCTTTGCCTATAAAGTGTCTGGCACTTAGAAAAGTACCCAGAACTATCTTTGCTATTCCCCAGCTACACAGCCTTCTCCTCTCTTCCAGTTCTTGTCCCAAGGCTTTGGATTTTATTTTTCTTTGCCCAAGTTCAAGGGTGGACCTACCATGCCCATTGTGAACGTGCTTGTGGGTTTTTCCTTTTCTGGGGGTTGACTGGCAAGAAGATGAAGCATTATTGGTGGCTGTTTTGACATCTTCTGTCTCGTCATCTTCCTCCTCGACGTCCTCCTCATCCTGAGAGCTTCCAAAATATACCATGCTATTGGGTAGCGCAGGAGAACCTGGTGAATCAAGAAAGGCAACTCATAAACCAAGCCTGACCCCTCACCTCTTCCAGAAGAAGCACCACAATGAAGACATTTATGTATCCATATACCTAAATCCTCACAACCAAGAAGATAAAACAAAGCTATTCATCTCTATTGACATTTTAAATTTATTTTTCAAATATCTCCCCCCCATGCCCCCAGAAATTCAACTTTATTTGTGTGGTTCTAGCAGATTTCAAGCAAAATACCTCTGCTGAGAAATAATGCCATTCACAAAACATAACAAAATTTTAAAAATCTCACCTGAATGGTTCTTGAGAAAACAAATTTTAAAAACCACTGAAAATAAAACTGAACAAGAAAGTATAAGTAAAATAAAAGCACCTACCCACATTGTTGAGAAAGAGAGAATATTCCACATTATACATTTAAATTACTGACTTTAAAAAATGAAAGAAAAGAAGAGAGAAGCAAGAAGCAAAAACAGAATGTAGCTGAGCTCGGTGGCTCAGCCTGTAATCCCGCGCTTTGGGAGGCCAAGGTGAGTGGATTGCCTGAGCCTGAGGGTTCGAGACCCGCCTGGGCAACTTGGTGAGACCTCATCTCTACAATAAATCAAAAATCAGCCGGGCGTGGTAGCGCATGCCTGTAGTTCCAGCTGCTTGGAAGGATGAGGTGGAAGGATTGCCGGAGCCCAGCATGTGGAGGCTGCGGTGGCCGGGAGCGACCACTGCACTCCAGTCTGGGCGACAGAGTGAGACTCCAACTCAAAAACAAAAAAAAACAAAAAAAACAAAAACAGAATGTAACGTTTTCTTATATAAAGTCATTGCATTGTATCCGTAGGGAATTAATGGTAGATACGAATTCCCCAAAATATCTATTTGGAAGCTACTGTGATGTTACGATTAGATTGACAGGATGTAAAAATGCCCAAGTAAATTCTTTTTTTTTGTTTTTGAGTTGGATTCTCACTCTGTCGCCCAGACTGGAGTGCAGTGGCCGCTCC